TTGCTTGTGTATAAGGCTGGGTCCTTTTATTCAATGGTATCAAAAAAAAGGTGGTCCAAAAAATGGCAAGAAATAGCCTCCTATATCAGGCAAGATAAATACTTGAAACAATAGATTTTCATCAGCTGTACTTCTTGCTTCAGTGTATAAGACGGGGTCCACTGATTGGTCTGTGGTACTCAGTGACAATAAATTAAAAAATAGCCCATCTATATTGCAGGGCATTCCATCATTACCTTATTTAACAAAATAAATGAATAGCAAGTTGTATATTATCATTGTTTACCTACATACAGTCATTCCTATGTTCATAATRAGGCTTAAGAAAAATTAGAAATTGCAGTTGCTATGGAAACTGTAACTCCAAATTTACTGGTTTTTCATTTTAATGACATTGATTTTAATAAAAATCAATTAGCCCTTTCATTATTAACTCTATAAAGTACTGTACATTATTATTCAAACATTTTCGTCTGTGAAAACKTTTTTTAAACTTCACCTTTACAGACACTTTTATTCCAAGCTTGACATTGATTTTGACATTGACAGAACTAGAACCTGGAAGACCTACTGTTATAAATGCTGCTCATATAATATTCATTGCTTTTTGTAGTTTATCAAACTCATATGTCAGCATTACTCTGTTTAGTGTTTCTTATAATGAGTATTTTTAATACCGTTTATTTGTAGTATCTTGTCCTGTTGTTCTTTCCCTCAATTATTTTTTAAATTTCCCTTCACTAGTTGTAAAGCCAAATAAATAAATTGGGTTATGAATATGAGTCATATTTTATGGAATAGACCCATTTAGTTTAAGCTTGCATGTTTTACCAACGTAAAAGCTGGGGGTGACACACTGCTGCATATGTGGACCTATGTGAGTTGACTTTGTTGTGTGTTGTTCCAGAGGCAGACCTAGGGGAGGGGTGCATGGGGAACGCATCCCCCAGATGAGCTGATGTCTACTGCATTATCGGTGTTTTAAGCAAATAGTGCACCCCCTGCCTTAAATGAAAATCCTAGATGGAGCACCCCCCTCCCCCGCACCCCTTAAGAAAAAAATCCTACATCCGCCCCTGTGTTCCCCTAACAAAAATGTGAGTCGTGTGTTATAGATAGTAAAATTAACTAGATTGATCTAAAGTGGACTAAGTATGAACACTCGAGTTTGTCAACCAATCAAATGACTTTTACAGTAGAACGACAGTAGAATCCGTCATTCAACCYGTGAAATAAAAAATACTAGTCAACGTGTAATAGTCAAATAGACACAAAAGAAAACAGTGGAATTAAGGTCTACTAAAATGTATTAGTCAAATATCTATTTCACGGGTTTAATGACTTCACTCTAAGATTTGCAAACCAAATGCAAAACTGGCGTAAATAGAATGATAACACCCACCCGACTAAACCAACGCCTTTTTCTCTTTTTCTTACCCTTAAATATAAGGTACTCCAGCGCTAGAGCAAAAAGAAATGCCAAGATAATCATTGTTCAATAGTCAACTTTCGATATCAAGCCCACAACATTTTGAGTCAATAGGCTCTGGCGAAACTATGCAATCGTAATTATTCTTTTGTTTTCCTGGAGCCTTGACTTGGATTGTTTTGAGCTTGAACACAACCAGAACATCGAAAGTTGGCTATTCTATTGTCGTGTACGCCTGACCACTGTCTTTACGACCTGCAAATGGCTTTTTTGACAATAAAAGCAAATCTTTCTTGAAACAGTTGAAATCGTGCTTCATCAATAGTCACGCCCACAAGGTTTATGGTTCAAGATAACAGTCTAGCGGTTTTATATCTACTTCTGATGAGTATAAGCATTCGTTTTAAAGTGTCAGACGTGCTCTGACGGTAGGAAACAACTGTAGACTATGTTTAAACGTCGATAGTTCGTGGTTTTTCCTTTATTCATTAATAATGGAGATCAGAGCGTGTTACTTATGTGATAAATTAGTTTTGAATGTTATGAATTAAAGATGAACTACTTTATCAATAAAGAAAGAGRGGGGGAAAAATATAAAAAAATATAGGTGATTTTTAAGACAGAAAGAACTGAAGAAAGAAGGAGTAAAACGAGCATTAAATAAAAAGGTTTTAGTCCACCCATTTGCACGAAAATGAAGCTCAAATAACTTCCATTGAATGACTTGTTTTCAGTTCATGACCACTGGTATTTGCGCGTATAAACTGACTGACCATTATACAAAGTGCCGAGATTTCGCATTGCTTGATAATTTCATATTTTTTAAACAGGAATTAATGTAGGTACTAGTAAGGAAAAAAAAAGTTTCAGTCCGTTATGTTTTTTTCTTTTTTTATAACAGCTTCAAGTTCTAGATCTAAATGACGAGTGATAATAGATAATGATTAGGGCTGGATGTGAAATATTAATGTTATCTAATAAGATGAAAGAACCGCTAGGTTTTAAATAAAAGAACCATTTGAGAAGGGAAACGGCTGAAGGGCTGGCGCCAGAAGGCGTTGTTCAATTAAAAATTATTTATTTAGCAATGCTCGGCAAAATATCTTCAGATGGAATTGTTTAATTTTTCAATATGTAGTCGTCAACAATTCTGTTAATGAAGCTTTTAATATTGGTTCTTTCGCTAGAGGCATAACGCATGCGCATGAAGCTCTACAGTTCCGCTTCGTTGGTAACACTGCCCGTGTTCACATGAAATGATGTGGATATGATATGGGTGGATCTAGGGAGGAGAGAGGCTCGTCCGAAACCCCTGCACAACAATTCAGCTACCCAATACGATTTTTTTTTTTTTTTT